ACACTAGTTCTGATTCGAGAAACTGTATCAGAAGACATAGGAATTATCAACTGAATGAGGTTCATCATCTTGATTGTCATTGTAGCAATCTCTACTCAAGGTGTCAGCCAGATGAAGCTCACAACCCCGCTTGTACACAACTCTTGGTCGATATGGTAAGATTTCCAAACACATTCTTTGGATTCTGGGAGGAGCATCAGACAACGGTTTCTTAAAGATAGCCTCTAAAGGCTTATGATCTGACTCTATTATCAACTCCTTGCATCCCCATACATACTCATGAAACCTTTTGCAAGCAGTCAGTATTGCGAATGTCTCTTTTTCAAGTTGACTGTAGTTCTGTTGTGATTGAGTCAATGCTTTGGAATTATAAGCTACGGGCTGCCCAGATTGTAACATAACAGCACCTACTGCATAACTGCTTGAATCCACAGAGAGAGTCACAGGAGAGTTGGGGTCATAGTAACGAAGCACGGGAGTTCTTTGCAGTTTTTGCTTTAACTTGTTAAATGCTTCTCGCTGTGGCGTATCCCAGAACCAGGCCACATTTTTTTCAGTGAGAACTCTAAGAGGTTGACTATCAACCGAAACATCTGGTATAAACTTTGACAAGTATGTTATACAACCTAAAAATCTCTGAAGCTCAGACAAACATGTGGGTTCCTTCATTCTTGAAATGGCTGTTACTTTGTCAGGATCAGCTTGTAACCCTTGGTCTGAAACTATGTGACCAAGAAATTTCACCATCGGTTTGGCAAATATACACTTTTCTTTGTTAAGTGTAAGTCCTGATTCACTCAGCCTTGTCATTACTTCGTTCGTGATCTTTTGCAAGTCACTTTCATTGTTACTGTGAATGAGTATATCATCCATTGAACACTCTACATTCTTAATTCCTTTGAGCAAGTCTGACATAATATACTGGAACACTTCAGGGGCCGATACCAAACCAAAGGGCATGCGTAAACAAGAGTAGCGCCCCCAAGGTGTTGAAAAAGTTAGTAGTTTGGATGTTCTCTTCGTAACTTTTATCTGCCAGAAACCTTTTTTACAGTCTAGGACGGTGAATAAACTAGAACCATTCAATCTAGCTGAGATGTCCTCTAATGTAGCCAATGGATAATGTCTACGCTTTACATTTTTGTTTAGATCAGTTGGGTCAATGCAAAGGCGTATTTTGTCTCTTTGTTGGACTATGACCATAGGAGACACACAAGGAGTAGGCTCACTTACCGGAGTAATAATCTTGTCTTTTACCATTTGGTCTAGTTCTGCTTTCACTGCATCACGTATTGGATGGGGTATTCGCCTGGGTGGGTGTATTTTGAAACTAGGATTTTCCACAAGATCAATATCATACTCAAATGACTTCAAACACCCTATTCCATCATATAATCCACTTATAGACTGATCAATTATACCAGCAATCCGTTTTACGAACCCTAGGGTTTCACATGATACTCTTCCTAATATTGATTGATACCCATTTGGAACTATTACAAACAAGACAGTGTCTTTATGAGACTTTTTGGTTACAACTGGACAAATGGCTTCACCCAAAACTGGCGTCTTTTGGTTGTTAAAAGAAACAAGGCATTTTGTTGCAGAAGGTACAATGTTCAGATTACAAGCTAGTGCCAAATCATGGGAAATAACATTGCACTGAGCCCCAGTATCTAATTTAAACTGCACAGTTTTGTTATTTGGCAATTTTAAGGGTTCTGTCCAATCTTGATTCTTGACTGGGTTAGAGATGCAATCAACATGCAATGGATAATCAGAATCTTCATTCTCTACCTACAACCTCTAAAACATCAGTATTTTTACTCTTACTAGGGAGATTCTTTCGAGTTTTACACATCTTAGCAAAATGACCTTTAGTCAAGCATTGATTGCAAGTTCGATTAAAAGCTGGACATTGGCCTCTAGAGTGTTCTAAACCACAACGTTTACAGTCAAAGACTGAATTTTGTAACGTAGGCCTAGAAAAGGAATCGTTCCTTTTGACGACATTAACATTTCTAGGGCTGTCAGAGGATATTTCTGCTAGTTGTTTCTTAGCTTGTTCATGTGCCCTACACTTACTAATTGCATCATCTAGGGTAAGCTTATCAGTAGAAAGTAGCTTTTCCCTTAAGCTAGAATCTGATATGCCAATAACTATTCTATCTCTTATCAAACTGTTTTTTAGTTGCTCAAAATTACAAGAATTAGCTTGGTTAACCAATTTTGTAAAAAAATCTTCAAAACTTTGATGGGTTTCTTGTGTAATTTTGTTGAACAAAAATCTCTCAAATACTTCATTAGATTTACCAACAAAAAACTTATCAAATCGTTGAACAACTTCATCTAATTCAATATCTTCATCATCCATGAAACCAAAACTGTTATATATATCTATAACATCTGGGCCTAAACTAGACATAAATGATGCTACCTGTACTGCATTGGATTTCCTATCAAGGCCAGAAGCTGTGTAGTACCAGTTCCACTGTTGCTTCCATTTATTCCAAGAAGGAGCCATCTGAGTACTTGAAACCACAAGACATTTTGGTGGTTTTACATTATTATCTTTGTCTTCTGTATGGTTTGTATGGATATCATCATCTTCCTTAAAGTCATACCTCTGATTTCTATTCCGTGTGGGTTTCGGCACCATGTCATTAAATTAATTATTAAATAATTGTACTGAACTCAAGAAAGGTTGTTTATTTCTAATTTAACAAAAACTCAATCAAGATATAAAACAATAACACAAAACATATGTAGAACAATTACCATGTTATTAACATATTAACTACTACTGTCAGGTATATTACCATAGACAAAAATAATTAAATATAGAACATCAGCTGTGCTGCGGTTATAAAACATATTTCAGTAATAAAAGTGATTCTAAATGTTAGAACAAAACTGAATTTTTATTATCATAGAAAAATGTAAACATAAACATTTTACAGATGTTTCAGATAATTGCAAGAGCCAGGTAATGTGATATAATATAATATATTACAGTCTTCCCCTCTAAAAAGAGAACAACAGGTTGAAGTCTTGGTGTGGAATACTTATAACTGATACTTATTTGTGGTGTAGATAATTAACTTCAGTTTTTTTTTTCCTTTTTTTTCATTAGAGCGGTGTATAGCTTAATAGCTTACTCGAGTCGTTGAATAATAGCAGGTTTTGACTGGATCTGGAGTAGGGTATTGAAAATGAATAGGAGCGGGAGTTAAATACTGAACAGGAGGGAAATCAACCAGGGGTTTTAGAATTGACGTGGTCGATTGGTAACCGTTGGAAACTGCTGTTGAAGCTGGAATGGAATAATCGTAGCTCACTGTCAGGGGAGTACACATTGGGCTTCAATGGTTTTACCGGGGCAGGAGGTACATATTCATTAAGTATTTATTTTCATGGACAAAACTAATTTGCTTTTCAATATACATATTATATGTAAATACAATATTGCAATGTGCCTGTATTTAGTGCTTTGTGCAGTGTCAGTTGGACAACCTGTCAGACATTTTGAATTCAAACTGTGTCATCCTATTTAAACTGTTGTTTTGTAACTACCATCTAGGCCTACTTCTGAAGAAGCCTCTGAAAGAGGCGAAATATTAAGTATATTATGTGTGTGATTTTATGTGTTCTTTGACTTGTCTGCAACCTTTCATCAGGTAAGTTAGCTGTGTCCTCTCCATCCTATATTTATTTATTTAGTATTAAAATTGTAATTTTGAATTTGTCGATCAGGGAAAGTTTAAAAAAATCATGGAAAAGTCAGGGAATTTTTCAATGTGGTTTCACTAGCCACCCTGTTAATGAAAAACTTTTGAAACTTTATTTATCGAATCAGTTCCATGAAATGTTTTGCAACCCTTTTTTGATGCTTCAAGAGTCAGAGCCTGTTCATACGCACCTTCAAAAGTCAATTCTGGATGCTGAAGAATCTTTTCACTGATTGTTTCATCTCGTAATCCTCGAATGAATTGTGCACGTAAAAACAAATCGACCACTGAAGATTCACAAGAAGGGCAGTTGAAATTGCATGTGAACGTAAGTCTTCTTAGTGCAGCTACAAACTCAGATATGGACTCTGTCGGACTTTGAACACGTGATAGAAAAGTATGTTGTTGGACAAAACATGGGTTTTGGACATAAATGTTTTTCAGCTATTTTAATCAATTCATCGTAGCTTTTGTTTGATGGTAGGTCTGGAGATACAAGAGTAGGTAGTTGATAATGTTTTGGTCCAATACAATTGATCAATATTCTTGCTTTGATTTGTTGTACTTTATCTTCGTTTCCTGTAATGTTTTTCAAATGAAAGTAATTTTCAAGTCGTTGTCTATATGAATTGAAATCTTCAAGATTTTCATCAAATGAATCGAAATTGAATGATGTGATTCCGTTCTGGGGTGTTAAAGGTTTTGAATTCTGTGCATGGGTTTGTGTGATTTCATTAAACTTGTTCAAAAGTATAGCCTGTTGTTGAACAAACGTTAATAAAATTGTTGATAGGCCTTCAGTCATGATAGTATGTTAATTTCAATGTTTATCCTGTAGAAAAGTGTACGAGTCATTAAAAATCCCATCCTCGTCGCCACTAAAACATATTTCAGTAATAAAAGTGATTCTAAATGTTAGAACAAAACTGAATTTTTATTATCATAGAAAAAATGTAAACATAAACATTTTACAGATGTTTCAGATAATTGTAAGAGCCAGGTAATGTGATATAATATATTACAGGTTACCATGGGTTCTGGTGCACACCGCTGGGAGCACCGTGTAGTTACACAGCGCATACTATTAGGGCACACACACACACACATAGTTCTAGGTGTGCGCTAGAACATATAGTCACAACCACAGCACGGTGTCAGCTATTTTAATTTCGTCAAGGTCTGTATTTAATTCTTTTTGCCTATGGTATTACATTTGTTTAGTTTTTCAAATTAACACCTGGGAACATAGTGGATACAATAAATTAGTCATAATAGGTTGTATAAATATTTAATAAATGCCAGAGTACATCACATTACATATCATAAGAGGCACATTATCTTGCACCTGTATACTTATCTGAAACCAACCGTCGAAGCAGTTTCACACTAAGCCAAAGGCACGGTTAGAGGGGAAGTTAAAGCTGTTAATAAACAATGACAAGCTAGAAGTAAGGTGATTTATGATCATATCAATGGTCTTACCATTCAAACTTTAAAATTATGTGACAACATTTTTTTTCAATAAACAACTTAATCTGAACTATTCAAATAATACTTCTAAAATTGTAACTCCGTGACAATCCAAAAGTTCTTATTTGGTATCAATGAGACCAAAAGTTTGAAATTATTTGTTTAACTAAAAACACCAATCCTATCACCCTAAAGAAAATTTTCAGTCTTTTATTTACCTAGTACTTAAAAATAGTTCACTTTCGTAGTTCAATAAATTTTACAAATATGGTATTACCTTTTTTATAAATGGTATGGTAATTTAAAAAAAAATCATTGTATTTTATATCATATCTCTGTTTCAACTAAAAAGATCTGTATCCTTGTGAAATCGGACAAAATAGTTTAAATAATGTGTCAATTCTATTTACATTGCTGATATTATATTGGCTGAAAACAAAATACTTTTGGAAATTAAAGAGTCTGAGTTTTACATATGATCAATATTGACTATTCACACACATACAATACAAAGGAACATGTTTGTATATTAGGTGTTCTGTGGTCACTCGGCTCCCCCGGTCAGAGCTGTGACGGTGAAGCGGATGTCGTCTGGATCACGAGACATGTATTCTCGGACGACTCGTACTCCATCCTGTAACAACAATTACAGGTTTTTGCTTTAACACACTAGATCCTACAAGCTGAAAGGCTTTTTAACCATAGGCAAGGGGTGAAAGTGTGATTGTAGTGATTTATTTCAACCCTCAAAATTGATGTTGTTAGACTTTACAGGAACCCCTAGTTAACCCTCTGGTGAACCCCTACAGGAGTTACAATAGAACCCCTTATATTCAACTACCGATTAGCACGGATGTATTAGGATTGAGTCTTCCCAGATACTAAAATCACGGTTTAGCGAAATACTACAGTTTGAACAGGAAAAGGTATCAAACTATGAAACGGCAATAAACATTAAAACACCTGAATTTTGTACTTGGCAGGACTCACGAATAATACACGTATTTCAACACAATAACACAAGCAAATAAATTATATACTGACTTTGAAATATTTACAAGGCACAAACAATTCTCTTTGAAAATTATCTGCAATTGGATTGTGGCGGATGAGTGAGTGTTGACGTATCGCGAGGGGTCTATGACATTGAGTGGGGCCGGCGGAAGAAGGTTGACTCATGTTTGGTTTATATCCTACTGTGCTTCCTTCCTATAATAAGTTGGTTTATCAGACCAGGGGCTCGGTCCCGTTGTGTACAGATATGAGGGGTTCTACTCTACTGTACATTCATCTTTTTCGAACATTCTCCTGTGCATAACACACCTGCTAGGTGAACACTCACCTAATTGCACGCTTTGTCATCTAAAAAAGAAGCATTATAAAATACTCCCGCCGCAGCAAACCTACAGACTAAGCAAATTTCCATTTGCCTGATTGTATTTACACTAAAATGTCTCCTTAAAAATGTCACATTTATTCCCTATTTAAATAGCATTAGTTTAACGAGTACTTGGGTTTGCTGCAACAGGGAGAAGTTGCAACTTAGAAGTTGCTAAATTTTTTGTTTTTAGGGCCATAAATGGGAAAAATCAATTTTTACCCCCATAAACCCCTGTTCCCATAGTCCGATCATGCTGGTTCGCGAACTCGTTCGAATAAACGTAGGTTTACACGTTTCTACCAAATTTAATCAAAACTGGATGATTTTTGCTCGAGTTATCGCGCTAACGGACACATATATATATTTAAATATGTATATATATTAATTTGAACGGATGGTGTTTTTGGCCTCTAGGGAACTCAAAACAAAAAAGTAAATCAGTCCCGGGTCCAGGTCTTACCATGAGTACTACAGTAATAGCTTATTCCCTATATGGGAAATTCGCTAAAAGAAGTAAAAAAGCAACTGAAATCACTAATTTGTTTAAAGAGGTTGAATTTAACATTGCATTTGCCCGTCTACATGGTTTCAGACTTTTGCATTGAATGTAACCATAGGTTATTTATTATAGTGTTATTTTACTATCATTTATGACAAAAGTTAACATAAAATTGATTCAGTTTTACCTCGAGGAGAGTATCAGGTGAAGAAGCTCCATGGTTTATCGGGAATGACCTTCTACCATCTGAAAAAAATCATCATTTGAAATAATATTGAAAGGAAATTCATCTTCTCATGTTGCAAACAGCCATAACAGTTATGGTTGGTAGAAAACTTAATTATTATTACAATATAAAAGTCTACTGACAACTTGTAATAATACTTGTAAATAATTTAAACTCAACCAGATGGTCGTGGCGTGGGACGGTGTGCTTTGGTCCTGGGTGTAGCAGTGGATGTATGTGTTAAAGATTTTATTGTTTGTGATGATGTATGTATGTTCTTTTGTTGTTTCTCATATTTAAAACCTTGTTGTTTTATTTTTGTCCTGGAATGTTATAATAATTTTGTTATAGGTTAACTCTAAGAACTGTTTGCCCTCAATACAGAAGGGTTTTTAATTCATCATATTGACAACTCACCCAACTCGTACAGTTGACCATCTTTGCAGACAAAAGCAATGAAGTGGAAGTTGACGGGTTCACTTGGGTCCGGAGCCTAAGAAGGAAATCATGTAACAATCAGTGATATTCCATTAACATTTACAGGGAAAAATTTATCAAAATCCAAATCAATACACAACAAAATATTTAATCTAAATTACTCGTCATAAGGTCTAACAATTTAGTTCTACTATTTTCAATAATGTTTACAACATCTAAGAAATATTGAAACTTGGTATGGGGTCTAAAACATGATATAAAACCCCTAATCAGAAAATCTGCAATCTACACAAACAATTATTTACCACTGCCTCCTGGAGTCTTGCGTTTAATCTGCGTTATAAAACCTTTTCCGTCTCAACAGTTAAAATATTAGTTGTTGGTCATTATGTGCATTTCATAGAATATATTCATTGTCTGGTCGAGATAGCAGTCAGTCCCTCACCAGCTGGTACATGATCTTAAATTTAAATCTCTAGAATGTGTATGTGTGTAGTGGTGTGTGGTGGAACTTTACTGTAATATTTTGGTCAGTCAAGATTTTGATTTCCTTTTGATGTTTTTGGAGGAAAGGGCACTTGGATAAGAATAAACTTTAAGAGAACTTACAACAATAAACAATAAATATATATGAAATAGTTAGATAATTCAATTTAACAATGACCCTACTTTTAAAACCCGGAATATCTCCTGCGGTTTGTACATACATTAACATTATTATCGCTTACCGTAGTCATGGAAACGTCATCATAGTCTTCCGTGATCACGGCAAAATGCGGAATATCTCCCGTAGTTCGTTTACATTATAGTTGCCCCCCTTTGGTCACGGAAACGTCATAATAGTCTTCTGCAAGGCAATCAAGACTTTTCCATGACCGCGGCAAATGCGTCAATTTTTCAATTGCAGAAACTTTGCATACGCTTGGCTCTAACTTTATTTGTGCTCGATCTCTTGAGCTTGTAGGCCAGGCTCGGCTCAGCTTGAATATCGAGCAGCTCGCACATTTCTGCTGTAGTTATTAATGGCTTAAATAAAAATCCAGAATGGCCTGAATAATCCCCGGTTTGTATACACCCGGAATAAATCATTTCAATTAGATAATTTTTTTTACTACTGAGTTAGTTTTTCTACCTCTGACTGTCCTTCTAGGGCGAGAGACTGATGAGCCGAAGACACTCCTTCGTTATTCTGCAGCAACTCCCCTCTCTGCTCAGGCGTCAGAGACTTGCCATCGTCTATAAATTTCTTCAAAACTCCATCCTCCAGCTGAATCCTGGACAGGTCGAAACAAAATTTTTTTAAATTGATATTGCCTGCCATGGCAACTCTTGAAAACTAATGAACAAGTAAACAAAGCGCCATTTACAGGTTCAGTAAAACAGAAACAGTAAATTTTATTAAAAATGTTTGATAGAAGAATTTATTTGAGAAAAACCATCTGTTAAGAATGAGTTTACACTTAACAGCATCAGCACATTGTAAGAACCTAGAGTGAGATAGGCAATGAGTTCGGTAGAAGATTGGTTGCATCCTCATTTAAAATGGTGGTAGTGTAATATGTTAAATTTATGGGTGTTTTAACTCTGATTAGAAAGAACATTATAACGGAAGAAAGGTAATCTTCTGCTATGAGTTGTTTGCAGCTTGGTAAATATTAGTATAAAGTAAGATGCAGATGTCTGAAACCTGACACATATATCTTTCAAGAACAGAGATGAACGGTGAAAAGTGTTGTCTTTGCCCTTAAGTGTGTAGTCATACACGTGATTCCAATTATCGCTGCTTGAAGGGTCAGATATCCGGAAGATGGAATGATTAAAACTCAACTGCAGCAACCTTTTTTTTTTAAGTCATTCCATATCCTTAACTTTGAAAGAAAATACTTAGTTAGAAGTTGCACTCACTTGTCCGTATTGTTGGCAACACTGTGCACTAGAGCCACAGTTCCGCAAGCGTTATGCACAAACTGTTTCATGTAGAACACCTCAGGGGACAAAGTCTGTCCCTTCTCCTTGATCTGAGCATCCTGTGCAGCACAATACTGCTCATACTGCAATCAATATGTCAACTATACAACATGCCAACTCATACCACCCTCATGTTTAAAGTATTATCCTATTACGGTCAATCTTGAAACAAATGATCATTTTGGATTATGCAAACATATTGTTAAGAAAAACTCGTTGGTTTGAGCATTAAGTTTACATTCTGAGGTTCAGTTAACCAATAACAAATGGAAATTTACCATATAGCATCATGATCTGGTTATTTTGAGGCATAGGCCATCTACCATCCACCATTTTGAGGATCTACCATCTAAAACTAGATAGGCTAGAGGAGAAGTGTCTATTTTGTACCTTCAAAAAAAACTTTAATTTTTATTTCTCTTAACCTTCTTTATTACAGCGAGTCATTTATTTATTCTAGTACAAAATTAGTAGATTACCTTTGTTGTTGTAGCCTGAAGTTTTTGAGTAGGTAAGATGTGTTAGTCCACCTAAGCTTTCGGCAGCTTATGTAAAAAAAAAGACCCCACAAAAAATTCCCCCGGTACTTCAGGGGGTCTTCTCAAGTTATTTTCTCATCACTAACACTACAGTCTATACTGTATTTAGTATTTACATAAATATTTAAACACGTCGGTTACTAGTATCAAAGACGGGCCGATCGGACAACAGACACGATGTGGATTCACGGCAGAAGTCTTTCTTTCTCCTTTAATTAGGTACTTGGACTGGGAGTGTTGGAATTTGAATTTTGGCAGTTTGACAGTTGAGGGTAGTTTGGACTTCCCTGGTTTATGGTCGGGCGGGTGCTTGATCTGTAGTGTTGCCAGTTTGTCATGTTTCCAGTTTTGAAACTAATTTAATGTTGTATATTAATTTGAAAATTGCAGAGCTAGTGTAGTCTTCTTTTTTTGTTACGGGGCTGTAGGCTATAGTATATCTGGTAGCTTTCATGTAATTTGCTAATGGTTTTGAGTGGGCTTTGCTCAGAATCTTGAGGGTATTGAAAAAATATATTGAGCGAGTTACATTTTGTTTTAAGTAGGTGTTTGGCTACAATAATTGAAGTGGAGTTGTTATGAAGACATGTATTATGATCTCTTAAATCAACGGATAAATGGATCCTACATCGTCTTGTCTAACCGACCCGATCGCGATACTAGTGTCCGTGTGTGTGTGTGGAAGCATTTTTGGAACAGTAAGTAGACTATAGTGTCAGTGATTAGGAGATAAGTCAAGAAGACCCCTGAAGATACCACACAAGCTGGAGAAATGCACAGGGTTACAAAAACATCTTACCTACTCAAACAGGCTACAACAACAAAGGTAATCTATTATTGAATTTCTTGAAACTGGAATAGAAATACAAATAATAAAAAAAAAAGTTTACACAACATAATTTCCAACACTGCAATAGCCTCACGGGGCTTTTCTGCAGCCACTGTAGATGACAATCATGTTCATTTCAAAGTCCAAAAATGCAAAAGTAAATTTATAATGAGGTTTTACACGAGATAAGTCATTTCACAAACAAACTGATTGAGGCAGATAGATAATTGTGTAGGCCTATCTAATCTTCTGATAGTAACTATCCAAGTTGACTTGTCTAGTATGTTTTGAGTTTGTTGGATCCTACACATTTGTAATTACAATGTGCTATTTCAGAGTTAAAATCTCAATCCAGTCAACTGATACCAAAGAATTGTCTATCTTGAAATAAAACACTTATTCCAACTGAATCTGAGCACATACTAAACTTAGGGTGCTTACCAAACTGAACGTTCATATGCGACTGAGATTCACAGCCTATGTGACATAATGTCCATGTTTCCAGGGTAGCTACCACACTCACTAATATTAATATTGATTGGTATCAGAGGCAATCTAAATTATATTTGTTGTAACAAAATTTTCTTTTTCATTACCAAACCCAAAAATATTGACCTAAGCAAGTCATTTTGATTCCAAATAAAAACTTAATGGTGAGAATATATGCAGTTGATTAATTTGCCTTGATCCAAAAAGAAACTAGGCTATATCTGCTCAGTTAACTTTTACAATTTGTTTCATCTGAAGAAGGTTTCTTACTCATTACATTCAAATCTATGACTCTCTGGTTTTAATTTCCATCAAAAAAATAATTCTCATGAGTGTGTTTAGAAAAAGCTCATTTTGAGGTGTTTACCAGTCACTTCACACTTAAATTTCTACTATTATCACAAAATTACAACCGTAAAAGCCTGCACTAATATGAAATTAACAAAGTAACATAAATATACTTTCAATCGGTTAAGAACTAAGCTGACAATGACGGATATTCTAAACCCCTGCATTAGTGTGTGGCGGAGAGCACACCCTTAAGACACTGCTCTTATGACCAGACACAACGACAGTAACTTGGCAACCAAATGTATCTAAAACAGGAGAACCCTGTATACGTTAAGCCGAGCAACTACAGATAAGGCTCTGATCTATTGAATCTATCAAAATGAAGATCACAGGTCTCCAATGGAAACAAACAAAACGTACATTTATAAAACAAGTGCTGAACTACAGGACTCACCTTCTCAGAGATGGGGAAGAGCAGCAGCAAGGCCAGCACTGGCTGAGGCACCACAGCAAGAAGATCAGGGTCCAATCCATACACATCCACAATCTGCCACTTCTTAGGAACCCCGAGATTGTAGAGGAACTGAGGACAGAAATCCAAAGTCCCAAACACATTGTAGCCATTGAGACAAAACAAAGAAAAAGTATTACCAGGACTGATGGAAGCATGCAAAGGAATATATAGAGAAAGAATGAAAAGATATACAGAGGAAACATGCTTATGGAACAACTGTGTGCATTTAGCTCGGGAATGGTGGGGCGGAAATATACTAGTACCGAGCCAGGAACAGTTTTTGTTTACAACAGAAGTTGTACCGCACAGGCTCTTCCTACAGGGTGAGCGCCATAGTATGTTATGGTGAGGGGGGAGAGGAGAGCGGAAGAAGATGAAAAATAAAATTTTAACTGGACACACTGGTGCTAGACACAACTTAAATGTACCATTGAATGTTTCCTCTGTATCTTACTGACCTGTGTTTAGCATAACAATGACAATTAATCAAGTACAAGTATTTTTAAAGTAAATAATCTTTTTTGAGGACATGTTTTCCTCGGGAAGGATTTCTTATTAGTTTTAGATGTTAAATTGAATATTGCTATTGCTACTATAGTAAACACTTGCTAATTCGACATGTTCAAGATTTAGGCATTGTCATATTATTGAAAATGCCAGATATCTCATGAGGCCAAAGAGTTCACTATACACTATCTACTTACAAAACTTCAATGAATTAAAAGTAAAGTTCCCAACCTTGTTCATAACCTGTAAAAGAACAAATAATGACTCAGAATAATTAGTTACACAACACAACAAACCATCTACCTCCTTGTTTAGAAAAAGCATAAATGTACCATGCAGTGTTTCTAAAATTTGTGTGCATTAATTTCTTAAATAGTATTCTTTTACTGAATTCAAAATTAATTCAGCATATAAAAAACCACAAAAGAGTTTCATCAAATCACACAGAAATTACAAAAGTACACCTACAAACAGTTAGGTAACCTGCTGGCTATTAGCCTAAATATTTATTTTTCATGTTTTAACACATTTGGCATTTTATTTAGGCTACCTATATTTTTATGAGAGAACTATCCAAATCCTAGTAGGCCTATTGTTACAGCATAAAATCAACCTTTTATTATAAGAGGGTGAAGAATCAATATTTATTTGATTATGGATGGGGCCTATCACACTCTTAAGAACAAAGCTGTATGATTGTAAAAAACTTGGCAAAATCCTCACTTCACTTGAGTATCACTTGAATGTTGCTTTGACCCAAGATATTACTAAAAATATATCATTTAACAAAGACACTTAACTTGAGCCTGCTGTTACTACAACATTTTCTATGATAAATCTGAAATAAGTATCTTTGAGGCAATAAACAACTTGAGTGTTTGGTAATTCATTACACTGTTTGTGTAAACAAAATTCTATTGATAAAGCAGAAGTAGTTAAGTTAGTACAATGTAGTTTTAAAATAAATTTACTAAGGTTTTAAGTTATTTATGATTATAATGCCATACTTACATCAGGATTTGATTCCAGTGGAAGCCAATACGTCATTTTTTATCTCGACTGCTTAACTAATCTTGAGAGAAGAATAACTTAGGTTCACTCTGTAACAAAAAAGTATAACTTATTCTTTAGTAGTAAGCCAATCTCAATATCATATTTAGTTTAGTCCTGATGGCCTGAAAAGTCTCAGAGAACAAATTGAAAAAAAATCATGAAAATAGAAAACCAATGGTTGCTGAGTTTGTTTTTGAGTTCATCATTTATTATGCAGAGAACTAACATTCCTTGACTTATGGGTCCTTGACGTTTACAAATATGTGGTAACATATTACCATACACTTCAGTTGGATGTAGCAATTCGTTACTAAAACAAATTTGACACTTTAAATAGGCTAGTTCTAAATTTGGGTTAATGCAAGTTATTTCTTATTGGAATCTGAATCTTTAAATCCAAAATACGGAATGAAAATATTGAATTTTCGATATTTCGATTATTTCATTTGATAAAAAGTTTGGTTAGTTAGGTTAACCTAACCTAACTAACCGAATGAAATAATCAATATATCAAATAATATTTATATCGAAAATTTGGTTGGATTATTTAATTCGGTTTTCGGAGTCCAGCTTATGAAAGTCTACCCAGGCCTATTATACATCAATGCTAACAATGCTAAACAACGTAAAAGGAGTATTAGCATTGTTTAAATGGAGAAAAGTGATCATACATTTAGAAAACAACACGTTTCTCTGTTATTATTTATCCAATCTTAACAAATCAGGTATCATTGAAAACTACATAAAATTTACAAACTTTTTTGTCTCTTGCAATTTTTTTGTAAAGTTAACGGTTTTCGTGAAATTAGGCATCAAATATTTTAAATGGCCGCCGTTTTGAAATGGTTAATGATTTTTTAGTATAATTTCTAACGATAATAGGTCTTAATAAGATTAACATTTTTGCAAAATATCAAAGCTGTATCTCAAACCGTTTAGGAGTTATTAGTTTTTTTGTAAAAAACACATAAATACCGACAGTCGGTAAACTAGACACCACAGACCCATGTACCTATGGTGAAATGTGTTTGTCTTGACCTAAGGAATAACGCTATATACAAGTGTCCAGAGAGTTACGGGACACCCTGTATATAACTCAATCCCAACCTTTAGAGGAGAAGGTAGGCCAAGGTGTTGTGTTAGGGGAAATTTTTAGTCTAGAGACTTCTTTAAAACTATGATCAAGTTAAGCTAACTTAACTTAGGCCTACCTTCCTAACCTACCTTAACTTTTTATACTTTATAGCCTACACCTGAATCAAAACACTGGTTGATATCCGACACCATGTTAATTTTACATGTTGAATCAAACACTGTTTGCTTCCCACATACCCTACATCTCTAGCACGATGCCACTATATCACCTTGTTCTAACCGTCATCGGAAGCACTCAATTACTCAATTAAGTGCATAAATGTGTTAAACTGTTTAATATGTTTCTTTTATTTAAATACTCAGTTATTATAAAATAAATACTGGTAAGTTAACTTCTTGTTCAGCTTTGAACGTGTAATTAAATTAAACCTAAAAATACAAAAAATATGTCTACTAACACTTGAAATAATATAGTGTCTATTTACACTTATACTGCTGACTCACAAGACGGTAAATACAAATAAAAGATGGGGTCATTCTCCTATTGTGACTCTGATGATGATTGGAGTGTCTAATCAAAATCGATCACCAATTACCATCCTTTATATATTTACCGTCTTGTGAGTCAACAGTAAGTGTACATATATTAATACAAGTGTGTCATTAGACATCTTTATTAGGCCTAGTATTTTCAGGTAAAATGTATCACAGTAGAAATTTAACAGAAAAGGGTCCTACCCTTAGAGTACAATTAGAATTCAACAATAAATTTCACACTTCATTTGGAATCCCAGCTCCATCTTCAAATTCCCTCGCTGACCACCATTTCTTTTTTGTTCGTCTCAGACGATTAAGTTGCTAAAACTGCACAATTTTTTTCTTGAACTTTATTTTTATTCTAAGCATCCAAGTTAGGGCTGTTTTTGACAATAGCCATAAGTTACTAGAGATTGATTATTAATTGGACAATACTTAGCCAAGTAACTTACACAGCTAACTTAGATTCGCCTGACCCGAGTAATGCACACTTAACTTATATGATCTAATTTAACTTAGGTAGGGCCTAATAAAATGCAAAATTAACGTTGGACGGAGCTTGTACTACTTTGTCTGATATTAACTTAGTCACACTTTTAACACGTTCGCTACCACAATTATATGGAATTTACGTTCGCATAGACCAGCGACGCAATTGTGCGTCGACTCGTTTCTCACAATAGACCACCGACGCATATTTGCGTCAGCTGGTCACATTGAAATGGACTAACGATGCACATTTGCGTCGGCATTCTAATGTTATTAAACAGCGTATTTCTTAGCAACGGTCTATTTTAAAGCCCGGATTTTATCGTATCGGTCTAGAGGGATATCTGCCGCAAATGTGCTTCGCTTGGTCCGTGGATATGACGATTGGTTACGTCACACAACAGTTGGCAACATTGTTGTTTACATTGTATATTCCGCGACATCACAGAACAGATGTAAACGTTATAACCTTTGCAGTTTTGGCTAGTGTTTAGTGGAGTTTCTTTAGTTGTTTGTGTAAAAGCTTGAAACAACCAAATTTACAACGACGCTTACGTGCGTCGCCTGGTCTATTGAAACGAAAATGTAATGTTTTTAACTGGATTTCGTTAAATAGACTGACCGACGCATATATGCGGCGTTTTAAAATTCGCTCATAACGAAAAATAAAAACAATATTTATTGCTTACTAATTCACTTAAGGTTATTATGAAGTCAATTAGTCCATTTAAACGATATTTCTCTTTTGGTCTGTCGGCAATGTTATTCCTATATCACTTGGTCTGTAAGCAACGTCATGATCATTCCTTTTAGTCTGTAAGAGTGACCGGACCGACGCAAATGTGCGTCGCTCGGTAGCGAACGTGTTAATAAGATTTTGGAGTACTGTAGGCCCAACTTAATGATAATGAGTTGGCTTGGGTCCAATAGGGAGCTAAGGCTTACCGGTATATTAATTCATAGATAAAATGGTACTTTGGTATTATCCAGAGGCCAGCTTTATACAGCATGCTGCAGCGGTTATATTATCATAAATGGAAAGAACATACTATAATTGACTTACTATCCATATTTGACATGATTACAATTAGCGGTGACAGGTGATGTGCGTGCTCCGGTCAACGACCTCGACTTGGCCTACTTGGAGGAGATTTGGCTAGCGAAAGTATGACTCATCTGGTATTGTTTGATTCATAATGAAACGAGGAAAGTCATACAAACATATTTATAATAACCCAACATAACATAACCTCCGCAGCGTGCTGTACAAGAGTGGCCTCCGGATACGGTAATACTAAAGTACCGATAAAACATACTCCCTTAGTAGATTTCTCGTCCTTATGGATCAACTGCAGCCAATTTTACTATTATTTCTGTCTGGTTCACTGTAGGGGTCGTGTTTTGTTTACAATTTATCTCTTGTCATTTCAGTAGGCTTAATTTAAAATCTCATTTAACCAAATACAACTACAGTAGACTCCCTCTTATCTGGACACCTTTTAACCGGACCACACTCGGTAGAAGTGAAATCTCTTTATCTGGATAATTTTTATCAACACATCGGTTTAACCGGACTAGATCGGCAGGAAGTGGGGGTACTGAAACGACTGTTCTCGTGGGAAAGATTTGAGACCAGTGATTACGTGTCTAAATACAACTAGTGGCTTGTAGAGACATTTATAAGTCCCTAAAAAGCTCAAATTTAAAAAAAATTATTGTAATCTTTAAACAAACTCAGAATCAAATCTATGTGTCAGGATAGATGTCCCAGTACAACAAATCTTTTGTGTAAAAAAACAGTTTGTTTTTATCTTTGTTTGCTTTTGTTGATATTATTATCAATAAATAATTTGAACAACTCTAGATATTTAACTCTGCTAAAGGCAGCAAACATGTTTGTGAATAAATATTGTAAGGTAGCTTTGGTATTTTGGTTACTGATGAAAAAAGCTTCCCTGATTGAAATTATGGAAAATATCTTCGTCAAATATGGAAAGGCAAAAAAGTGTGTTGAGATAAGTTTTTTTTAATGGTCAAAACCGCTAAATTAGCACCCCGACCCAGTTATTGTTTCTATGATTATGCTCATTTTGTTAAGGTTTAACAAAATTAGTGTAAAGTAAAGGCATCCCATTGACTAACTTAACCCTAGATTTGTTTCTGATCAACATCAAAATGCTACTATTAGCCTAGTGTAAGATTATGTGGTGGTATTCCTCCTAAAGGTGCGATTTACTCTACATATCCTATCAAAAAAAGGGCCTAATCAACGTCTGGTTAGGTACTAACTGTTTTGCGACTGGTAAGAGTTCCATTTACCCAGTTATCGAAACCAATCACAACATGCATAGGCCTATTTTTAGTTAGTTTTAAGAAACGGAAATACCTCTAGGTTTTACTGTTATATATAGGTGCTCCCTTTACTACCGTGCATGCTAGGCTATATTATTTGAACATGTACCTGGTTAGTCTCCTCTAAACAATATTGTTTTTTCCGCCCATTGAAAATTGACATAGTAATGAACAAATTCTTATAAATTTATAAAATTATAAAACAAATTCTTATACGAATTCTTAATGAACGAATACCTGTACGAACCCCTATTTCATCTTTATTCCAAAATTGTTTTCTAAGAGGGACCGTTAGCCCTCCGAGCGTCACTCGTTAAAAATCGACTCACGACTCACGAGTCGATTTTTTGACACACGAACATCGTTTACGGCGAAGGCTCTAAGACTGACTGAATCGGATTGAACTGGATCGAGTAAGGTATCGTTCTTTTCGTTAGATTCTAAGCTTTCTCCAGAGGTCTGTCTCTAAGCGCTTTATGTTCTCCGAGCCGATCGTAATTGTAGCAGACAGCTGACGTTCGTGTTTTAGACAACTTGGTTATTTCACATCGGTGACTTGTGTGTTTTTGTACGTTTATCGTCGTTTTTAGTGGTAAAAATGGACAGTAGTGATATACGTAATGCACTAGAAGATGATATTAGTGATGTTGAAGGACTTATTGACGATCCAGATGAAGTAGGTTAGTGATATTGATGTAAATTATCAGCCAGATTCCTAGCTATGGTTAGGCTATGCATTCTTAGCTAAACGCTATGTACTGAAATCTGTTTTTTGCCCATAACTTATTTATTTGCAAATCTACTTCCTTATATTATTATATATTTGTAATCCTCATAAAATTTAGAACAAAGTGGCTATTTTCCAATATTTATAGGCCTATAATTTATACAATTTCATTGAGCGCAAACTTATTTTTTTTTCAATTTTTCAAAAATAATTTTTTTTTTACCTGAAAAAATTTTTTGAAACAAATATTCCTTATGTTTTATGTATGATATTGAAGCCCATGATTTTCCAAACAAAATGGTATATAGAACAGTAGAATTAACATTGTTTTAAGCTTCTCAGATCCGTTTTAATAAAACCTTGCAAATGCGCCAAAAATAGGTGGACATTAAGGCCTAAACTATGGACACTCGGAGGGTTAATTGAGGTTATTCAACTTCATAAAAAATATTGATTAAACTCTACAATAAATCTCAAATATAAATGTTATTAAATTTTCAAAAGAGTATGTAAACAATCTTTAACGTATGTTTTAAAATAAAATAAAGCAAAAGTTCTCCATTTAATCTTGAATTGTTTCTTTAATCCTGAAAACAATTGATTTAAACTTTGACGTAGTAACTAAAACGTCTTAATCATTATAGGTAACGCTATACCTGGTTTTATATAGTATACAGTACATTGCAGAGTTGACTGACAAATGAGTAATCCAAATGTAATATTGCTTATTTGCTTAGTAATAAATCACGATCAGCTGTATTGAAATAAACAAAAATCAGCAGTAAATGGCTTCTAATGCTATTCTTATGGAGAAAATTTTACGTTATATCTAATTGTGTGTTAAAATTATGGAGATTTCACTATTTTTCCCGCCGTCACGGGATTGAGACCTTTAATTTGAGCCCTCTCCCGTCATTCTACGACTTCCTAGTCGTCCACAATTTTGACGCAAAGAATCTGCTTACGTAATTAATATATAGATAGATGCTCTCCTAATTTTAAGTCAAACTACCTGTTGCTCGAATTCGAGCAATTGCCAAGTATTACAGGCTGCGTTATTTTAAAACGAATAACAAAGATAATTTCTGATGACTTTAAGATTCGACTAAAAAATTATGGAAACACTCAAGATGTATATAACAGATCGATAAAATCAACATTTCTTGTGAATATCTTAACATTTTTCAAAAGGTGATATTGTTTTTTAGCGTTTTCTACTACTCATAGCCGCATTAGGTTGTCCATAATAATGATTATAAATTTAAAAAAAAATTATTTCTATTTCTTCTTCTTGGTGGTGTTCTATGACTTTCCTATCTTTCCGTCGTTTGCAAATCGGCTCTTTCAATGATTACTAAGAATTCGTCATTGACTTTGACCTTGGCAACAATAGCTTCTTGGAAACTGGTTTAGACAACCGAACCATTTCTTCGATAATAAAATGTGGAGGAGAACTTATAGATCTCAACTATAAACCGTGGATTGTTGACAAAAACCACAGATGTTCCTTGTGTAATTTAAACGAGAATGAATATGCTTTACACTTTGTGGCTAGTTGCCCTGTGTTCAATGACTTGCGACTCTTGTATTTTGGTAAACAAAAAATACAATATGAGGAGTTTGTGGATTATTTGAATGGGAAGGATTGGCGGGGCCTTGGAAGTTTTTTTAAAAATTGCATGGAAACGTAGATGAGAGTTAGTTAGGAATTTAATTTTTAAAATTTTGTATTACAATATGTTTACATTTATGTGTATGTATGCATACATGTGTATGTGTATGTATGCATACATGTGTATGTGTATGTATGCATACATGTGTATGTGTATGTATGTATGTATATGTGGTGCATAAAGAAGTGTTATTTTATTTTGTTTTTAGTGCTCAGTATGTTGATTTATGTGGAACAATTTGATTTCTAATATTGAATGGACATTATGCCAACCCAGTAAACGGTCGTATGATTGTTGTACATGTGCATGTATCAATTTATCGTACCCATTTCATGTAGCCTACTGTACATAATATGTATTCAATAAAGCACTTTTCTATTCTATTCTATTCTGATTACTAAGAAATTCAGCACAGTGTTAATTCAGTTTTATTTTTAGTATATCAAATTATCCAGCTCTCTCGCTTTTTTCCATTGTAATATTTACGCCAACCCAAATTCAAATAGGGGTAGTAAATATTTAATTTAATCCAAGTCAGTATATGTTTGTAGCAAACTGTTAAATTAGCAAACTTATTGACTGTTTACAATTAACATATGTTCTCTTCTCAATTTTAATTTCTGACAACATCTGGAGTTTCATGACACTTTTTGTTTCCCATGTTAATCTTATGGATAGGTAAATGGAACTTTAAAGGGCCCCAGGGCCTCACTCTCTAATTATTTCCCTAAAAAGAAAGTTTCCTGTACAACTTCACGTTACGCTCTTTCCAATGACACCAAAAACATGTCAATCGGTTCAGTAGTTTCGGAGGAGTAATTGTCACAAAAAACTTGCTTGCGTATCAAATAAGTATAGATAGGCCTACTGTATAGAGTATGCATTTAAACGGTCGTTTTAATGAGATTTTGGGGACGTCGATTTAACCGGAAGACCCGTTATCCGGACTGGCCTCGATCCCAAGGAGTCCGGATAAGAGAGAGTCTACTGTAACTTAATTAAACTTATCTAACTTTATCATAAACAATAACTCGTCCACTGTTTAATACTTAGCGATGACTGGGAACTAAGGGACCTACAGTTTATAGTGGAATCCGAACCACATTTTTCCTTGATAACGAATTGGTCTAATTATCAGGATAGCACTGCGGATTTAAGTTATAAATTTAAGTTATACAACCAAACAGTAAAGTACAAATCATGAAATTAACTTAAACTTAAAATAAGATAGGCCTAATATAAACAAAATTTCGTCGATACTATCGATCAGTGTCACCGGACTTGAACTAAGTAGAAACGAAAAACGAGCTTCAAAATTTACAATGGGATGAAAAGTCTACTTTTGTGTTGGTTCGTCTATGATTTATCATTTCCATTGATTTTAAGCTTCGTTACTTACTAGACCTAGCCTAATCATGATGCTTTGTTGATGGATGGCAAAACTGTGCCAACTGTGGGAAGATACAAAAGGTTCACATTAGTAAATGCCCAAAATAGAACTAGAAAAAATTTGATACAGGCCTGGACTCAAATTAGGGGTTATTATTTTTGTTCTATGTTTAAACTTACCAGGCATTTTAAACTAACACTTATTTAACTTAGGCTTCCACTTAGGAACTTCTGGAGCAAGCGAATTGCGGTGATAAAATGGTAAAACTCGCCTTTCAAAAATTGTGAGAATGGTTCCAAAAGGAAATTTACTAATTTATTATTTATGAATTACCCAGAGCTTAAGAATGTACTTGAATATTTAATTTTCGCACCCAAATCAAATTACCTGTTGAAAGAAGCCTTGTAACCGTGAAACCGTCAAAGGCCTAGACTTACTCTTTCACAACCACAACTACAAACTAAACTACACAAGAGACAGGCAGGACAAGACCAAGACAGGAGACAGACAGGAGACAAGCCAAGCAAGCAGACGGAGACGGATCACCCGGCGCGGCGGTTCGTTCTCGTTCCGATTTAGTTTCCGTTCCGTTCCTCTCACACCCTGGGTTTAGATTCAGCGCAGTTTTCGTTCTCGAACGTGATTTAGTGATTTTCTCTATGGTTCAATCATTGATTATGTTTCTCCCAAGACTTGGGAAGATGTATAATCAATGGTTCAATCCAGTGATATACAGGGTGATTGATATAAGTGTGCCAGCCGTTTTATTCGAAAACTATAAGAGATATCGAAAAAAGTTAAATGGTAAGTGCCTTGGATTTTTTATTTAAAAAATTGTAGTCAAGTCAAAAAAATTATTTTAGCCGCCATTTTTCCAATATGGCCGCCAACTTAGATTTTTCTTACGGAACACCCTGTATTTTATTATGTATTCTGGTAGAAAAAGTAATTTTAAGATGATTTTATTCTTGTGATTTTTTTCATAAACCTAACCGTTTCAAAGATAATAATGGTTAAAGTTTTGAAATTTCTGCATGAGAAAGAGTTTCGATAAAGGCCTAAGCAAGCATGCCAGCTGTTTTGTTAGAAAACAATTCAAAATTTCACAACTTAAACCATTATTATCTTTGAAACGGTTAGGTTTATGAAAAAAATCACAAGAATAAAATCGTCTTAAAATTAATTTTTCTACCAGAATACATAATAAAATACAGGGTGTTCCGTAAGAAAAATCAAAGTTGGCGGCCATATTGGAAAAATGGCGGCTAAAATAATCTTTTCGACTTGACTATAATTTTTTAAATGAAAAATCCAAGGCACTTACCATTTAACTTTTTTTGATATCTCTTATAGTTTTCGAATAAAACGGCTGGCACACTTATATCAATCACCCTGTATAGTGGTTTATTTACCTTTACTTCCGTCCCAGTTCAAAGAACTTGCACACAAGTACATTGTTACAATAAATTAAAACATATGGTTCTCGCAGACATACATTTTATTTAATCGTACCACCGCGGGAGCCGGCTGGAGAACACTCAAGAACTTTTGATGGCTGCACTTTAGTTTACGGTCTACACTCATTCGAACGAATGTATCGATTGGGTACTTATTTCGATATATCAAGTTTGGTCAGTTCGGTTAGGTTAACCTAATCTAACTAACCGAATGAAATAATCGATACATCGAATAACGAATAATCTGTATATCGATATTATTCATTCGAACGAGTGTAGGACGTAGACTAAAGTGCAGCCATTTTTTTTCCTACAGGCACCCGACAAAGTTGGTTTCCTTGTACTGTTTATAGTACAGAAAGCTACTAATTGCTGCATATTTATACTTTGCCGTACGGTTTATACTTTGCCGCACATCAGGATTCCAACGAAACAACACAAAACAGCGTGGTTCTATTATGCACGTAATCCGTGTACGCTTGGAAATAGGTTGGCAACACAAAGATAATAATACTATGAGCAGCTGATTGACTATTATAACTACCATTTAACCAGTGTTGGGAAGTAGCGCGCTACAAGTAGCGACGTAACGTTAGCTGTAGCTACGCTACTTTTAAGATTTTGTAGCTTTAGCTGTAGCTAGCTACATTTTTAAACTAGTTGTAGCGGAATTTTAGCTACTTTTCTCGCTACATTAACATTGTTTGAAATAGTGATTTTTATCATAACCTCAACCTTACGTGAAATAACCTCTTTCAAACTGGGGTTTTCAAAAAAATTAGGCCTACTTTCTTGGCTTCGTACAGCTGGTTGCAGCCGTTTCATTCCCTATTACAACGTTCTGTGGACATGGAGGCCATTAAATGAGTGTTATCCACATTTTTGGCTCTCATTTCCTTAATTTACTACTCTATGATTATTGTCAGATAAAATAAAATCGCTAGATGCAGACGACGTTTAAACGTTACCGGTGACAAGAGAAGCTATTGAATGCTTGCAAATGATTGACAGGGAAATTAGTAATCAATTTAGTTTCTTTATTATATCGATAGTGTTTCAACTTGGGTTTCAATTGAAACCAACACTCCTTAAAATAATGAGAAAGCTGGTCTATCGACCTTTGCTTCAGCTGTTGATTGTGGTTTATCATCACAAGCCCTTCCTTGGTTAGATTACGAAGATTTTTCAAAGGTTTACTAAATTAACAAAGAGGAAATTACCTGATGAGATTTAAGATATGCCTAGACTACATGATAATTGTAACGATAAAATCTCCATATAACATGAAACTTACATTGAAAAAATAGCATAGTTTGCTCCTGCTAACAGCTCTTGTATAGGACTGTTCCTAGGCTATGCTATGGTTTAAGACGAATACCAAGTTCCAAGTCCATTTATTAGGGATATCTGTTTAGTCCTTGCAAGAACAAGCCTACTATAGCCAAATTGTTACATAGCCAAGTAGGCCTACATGTTATTTTTACTTTACAAATTTCAACATGTTTAAATTAAAAGCCGATTTCAGGATAAGTTGCTGAATACTGTTTTCTATACCAACTAGGTTGAAGCACAATTTGCCCTTTGCATAATGACAATAAAGGACGATTTCTTGACATTGAAAAGTGTTATTCATAGAACAAGTGTAACTTATCACTATGGTTAAAAGTTATAGCAATGTCGTTTTTAACATTAAAAGTAAAGAAAGGCAATAAACTCCCATTTCAGTAGGCTAGGCTCTGTAACACAAAAATGTATTTTTAAATAATCGTTTTACAGTTTTATTGGCCTTAATATTGTTGATATAAGACATCTATAAATAAATCTTTGAAGAAATAAAATGAGCTTTTAAAATATAGTTTGGTTGTATGTCCTTTGAACTTAATGAAATTTACATTTAAGATGCTTAAAAATAATGCAATATCTAAAAATAAGTACTAAATATGATGGGACACCCAACTATTAGGTTCTGTTGTTGTAATGTTAGGTTTCTAATGCCAAAAAATTAAATACTATCTAGGAATAATTTGTTTTCCAAGTAACGTAGATACAATACTGCCTTTTTTATGTTTGTTCAATAAAAATGTAGTTGCAATTAATTTTACATTTACCTAATGTGCGTGGGATAAAAAGTAACGTCTTTGGAAAAGTAGCTAAAATTGTAGCTGTAGCTACATTTCATTGTAGCTGTAGTTGTAGCTAGCTACTTTTTCGGAACTGTAGCTGTAGTTGTAGCTAAGCTACTTTTTTTGAAATGTAGCAGTAGTTGTAGCTTAGCTAGCTACATTTTAAAAGTAGCTTCCCCAACACTGCATTTAATCTGTCATTTCGTGTTTATAGTTTCGGTATTTCTCAACTTTCTGGACTTTTCTTTTAAACGTTTTTAAAACATTCCTACGAATCCTACGATCTTAATAAACAAGAAAATACCTTTAAAGCATTTTTTTTAGGCGCGGAAACCACTTCAAATTACAAAAACATACGGAACTATATTCTCAAAACGCGGAGCACATTTCTTGCCGAGGAAAAATAGCGGAGTGATACGGACCGCGGGTACTACTTTCTCTAGGGCACCATTTGTGTTGCCAGCTGAACCTAAAAACGTGTTGTATAGTGTTTGAAAGGAAAGACTAATTATTTATATGCTTTATAGTGACTGTAGGAAAAATATTATGTGTAACACGAGTGAAAAAGGCCTTTGCTGCACTCGAGACCATTCCGCACTCGCCTGCGGCTCGTGCGTAAACATTGCTCTCGTGTGCAGCAAAGTGCCACTTTCACCACTAGTTACACAAATAACTATTTCTTACCGAGTAATACTGTAGATGAATTAGAATCAAAATAGTTTTATCGCCATAATAATACAAAAATGTTCAGGGCAAAAGTCACTGAAATAACTAAACAAGTAAAATCAGATCCATTAAAATAAAGATACAAACTTCAAAAGGTACAAAGTATTTACATTTTAAAAACGAAGTAACACTGTAAAATTCCTTATCAACTAAATATTCCCTCAAACCAAGCTTAAATTTTTAAATATCATTTTCGCATTAGGAGGAGAATTAACCCCCACCGCAGCAAACCTGTAGACTAAGTGAATTTCCATTCACCAGTATTGGATCTTAAATAAAATATATTTAAATAGCATTAGCGTAATAATTTATGCCTGTTTTTTCTTTATGATTAATTTAAATAACACATGTATTTTTCTTTATTATGATTTTAAAATATCCAACTTCCAACCATCTTCCAACTTGGTTTCAAATCAAATCAAATAATTTTATTGGGCCAAAGTAACAATGATACAGATCTTTTAATACAGTTTAAGACCGATCTTTTATTTAATCCAAGTCTTTGTCATTTTAAAGTCTCATGTAATGTTTTTAAGTCTAAGGTGTTATCTTTTTTTACAAACTGCTGGTGCCGAAACCCCAATTAAATCATGTCATCAAGGAAATGAAAGAGGGAAAGACATACCCGGAACGATATTCCCCTGAAATTGTAAATGACAAGAATGATGAACCGCGGTATACTGTAGAAAGAGATAAGGCATAACCTCCAAACCCCCTACTAAGTCAAAAACCACGTACATCTTCAAGAATAATTGTTATTCATCGTAAAGCGCTATGTACATTACATGCAATGGATGAATGTCATTAAACTAACTGTACCCTAAAGTTTACAAGCAACATAGAAGCAAATGTAATTAAAACAAGTGCAGTGTCAACGTCAACAAACTTCCAGCAAGCACCGGTTACAAGAAAAATACAACATACTAAAAAAATACTTCAATTAACAACTAGAAGAAATTGAAGAAAATTGAATAAACTTGGAAAAAATGCAGGAAGGAAAAGAATTGTAACAACAAATAGAATTCGAGGCTAAAGAAGTAGAACGTCAACGTCAAATG